AGGTTCTTCACCACATAAAAGAAGTTTTTCCCCTCAATTCCAAATTCCTTGGCAAGTTGACTTTGTGTTACTCCATTCATTCTGCAAGCATTCACTAACTTTCACACAGTTTTCAGGGAAATAAAGAAACTTGAGAATTGACAAACCAAACCATATACGATTATTCTCTCATTAAAAAACCAATAAACCCATTCCAATCACATACATAATCCTGTTTCTGTACGCCGCACAGACATGGACTAGCTCCTAACAGCTACCCAGTATCCCCAGTTCAATATGATTCTCATCGCTCCATAACAACCAGACTTATTCAATTTATCCCGAGTATATGATGTTAACAAGCAATATCCTAAACAGATACACTTCCACACACCCCCATATGATATGTGAGAATGTCAGTATTCTGCAACTTGATGGCAGTGATTTAGTCTTGTGATAATAGTAATGCACTAACAGACACAAGAAAACAAAAAATTTAAATCTAAAACTAGAAAAATCAATGCATATAAAATCGCAGTTCACATATTTTGGCTATCAATCAAATCGTACCTAGTAATAGCAATTCTCTCAAGAGCGCGACGATGCTGGGGCTGAATATTATCCTTGTCGTCGTACAGCCCAACGGAATTATCTCGAAGCTTCTCATTAGCCACAATTTTTACACCTAGTTTCTCCGCATCATCGACGGACTGAATCAAACCATCCTTAGGGCTAAGAAACGCATCGTCTTCGGCCTTGAATTGAATGGAAGGGATTAAAAGGAGGTTTCTCCAAACGGCGCTTTTCATTGAGGGGGAAATCTCGAGTTTGGACCAGAGAGAAGAGACAGAGATGCCGGCTGGGCCATTGAAGCAGATCTCTTCTAGAGCTGAGGAGATGATGGAGTCCATTGGGAGGTTGGAACATCGGCGGTGGCGCCCAGCCGAGAGATTTGTGGTGCACTTACTTTCAGGAAGGAGAGGATAAACCTGCCGGAGGTTTTTGAGTTCCTGGTGAGGGGCAGGTTGGGGAAGAACGGTACGGTGGAGACAGGGAGTCTGGACTTCCGAGACATGGTTTGTAATAATTGTAGTTCGGCCCTTAAATTTTGGCCCAATGATCCAAGGCCTAATCTAAGAATCTTTCCCCCTTTTGGCGCGCATGTGGGCATCCGAGAACTTTTTAATTTTTTATTTAAATTTTATTAAATTATAAAATATCCATTGTTAAATAGAAAATAAAGATTGATCTCAATATCATTGTCATTTTACGGCTTAATTTCATATAATTAAATTATACAACAATTTTTCATTTGTACTCTTGTTTAAAGAAATTTAAATTTCTTGTTTATGGATTTCATAGCTTAAACTTTATATCTTATTTATAAGAGAACACTTAATAGAAACAATTTTGGGTTGGCCTAATTTTAGAATTAAAAAAAAAAATGACATGTGGTACAAAGATAAATCACATTATAATTTCAAAATTAATTAGTTTAAAGTACATAAGATCCTATATATCTCAATTAACTCACGCATAGAGAGACAATTTAGGACAAACACCCCATGATCAAAGGAGAGGCCCCATTTAAGGGGGTTAATTTTCATAAATGAGATAAGTTGAACTTAACACCTTTTTGCATAACACATTTTATTAATAAAAAAAGTGTTTTACCATTCAAATTATATTTAATTGTAATACACTAATCATTAAATTAATGAGATTACCCAATTGCTTGCAAGGGCAAGTCATTGAGTCACTGCTATCATGTAGTCAATTCATACTATTTTATGAAGGGCTTCTTTGATGTAGCGGTTCTAGAGTAACATTTAATAATTTTTACCTAAATTGCTATAAAATAAATATTTGATAAATTTTTTGTATCTCAAAATTGTTATAAATTAAATATTTAGTAAAATTTTTATTTAATAATTTGAAACTAACGAATAATGGTTAGGATTCAAACAATTAACAAATTGAAAAGGTTATGTAATAGCTTTATGTACTAAATTGTTGATGGATTGGAATTTTTTAACATTATTGACAAATTTATCCTTTTTTATACTTTATTATTAAAATTATAATTTTATAAAAATAATAATAGTAAATAACTAAAATATTAAAATATGAATCACATACTCATTTTTTATTTTTAATAAAAAAATTACATTATTTTTAAATAAATAAAAAAACAAAATTTTAATTATATCGTCTAATTAACAAATTGTGTTTATTAAATTAATAAAAAAAATTAAATGATAAATTAAAGTAAAAAATAAAAATATAATAATCACTTAATGTAATTAAAGAGAAAAAATTGTATAAAAATACACTTAATTATTTTTAAATATACCTAATCATTTAATGTCAAGTAAGAACTGTTAATTATTATATAACCAAATAGTTATATTAATTAAAATTCATTATCTACAATCTGGTGCCCCATACCATCATTCACTAATTACTATTCGCCAATCACCACTTGCTATTACTATTCACTAACCACCACCTATCACTCACTATTGTTATCTATTATTTGCCTCCAATTACTACTATTTGCTATTTCCCTCTTGCTACATGTTATCTGTTAGATTTTAACCGTTATACCAAATAAGTTATAAATTAATGTACTTTTATTTAGTTAGCTCACTTTTTTATATTTAAAAGAATATTAAAGGATTTTATGTCAAATCTATCCATGTTACTCTAACTATTAATGAAGGGGGAAATGTTTTTTATTAATGAAAATATGAAAATTATAATCCTAATAAGTATTTAATGAAAATTTTCTATAATTATATGAGCATAAAATAAGACAATTAAATTAAAATTACAAAGTATGTATATTTTAAAAAAAATTGTTTAGTTTTGTTGTTTCAAATAATTTATAATTGATAAAATAATTTATAATCAATAGTGGATATCTAATTATTACTATTAAGTTATTATTAGGTTAGTTGTTTCAAATCATTTATAACTTATAGTGGATATTTACTTATTAATATTTATCTATTAGCATTATTTTTATCAATGAGTAAATATTAGCTATGATTATTCAAAACAATTAAAGTAAATAGAGCTAAAATAATTATTAATCACTAATAATAAAAACCGCAGCGCATTAAACAATTCCAAACGCAATTAATGAGACCTCATGTTAAGAACCCAAGGACTAAAATGCATAATCTTGAGATTGTGGATTCAAGCCTCATAAATGGTGGGT